AAATTTCTTAAAGAACGTTGGAAATTGCTTTACAAAGCACCATACTTTAATAGATTATAAAAAGTCAATCTTATTACAATAATAAGGAATAAAATAAATATAGAACCTTGAATTCTATCGCTGTAAATTACTTTAATCAAATTCCCCTAAAAATCAATACACATTTACATCCAACAACGTTGAAAATAAATCGAGTGCTAAGGGTTAATCATCGCAAGATAAATTTTCGAATATTTCCCAGTGAACCATAGAACGACTAACAAAACACAGATAAATTAATTCCACAAATCTTTCACGTCACGACAGCATGTATCAAATGCACCAATAAATAATCCTCTATTCATTCTTGGAATTTATTTACCAATACTATCCTTCTCTAATATCACCCATCATTTTGAAGAAAGCAACTTAAAATCATGTTACCTTTGTATTAAGAAGAAAATCAATGAGTTATTTATTAGTGGTAACTAAAAAATCACTATTTGTATAATTAATTACAAATATAATAATTAATTATACAAATATACCAATAAGTAATCCGCCGTATTCAATGAAATTCTAGAATTAATTTTAAAATAAATAAAGATCATCGTACTAATATTAATTCTAAAACAGAATAAAAACAGAGATTAATTAAACTCAGTTTAATCGAACAGAACTTAACGAACGTGAAATAAAAGTAAAGTAACGTATTACTCAGAGGTGCGTTCGATAAGGAGTGACCGCTGAAAAATGGCAGAACTTTCCTGCATACCCGGTGAGACGATAAGTTAATGGTAATGTTAACGAACGTCGTCGCGCAACGATTCTGTTTCTGATGCTGTATCTCACAGGACTCGTGTGGTGTAAGTAAGTAAGTACTTATGAATATGTGCAGTGGCAGTTGCATTAATGAGAAAGTCGATTAGAGAGAGCGAGACGGTGTTTGTATGCGTGGTCACGTACTACCTTGCCCCTGCGCCAGAACTGATAAATTTATCACTCTTGCGTCAGGGTTGATAAATTGTTAACTTTCGTTACGAACTCTTTCCCTTCCAGTCATTGCTCAGACACAGGTGTTAGTCAATTCATGAATGGAAATAACATGATTAGAAAATGTCAATGAACGATAACCGAACTCCGTTCCCAACTGGAATCACAACTTTAATTACGAACGATCGATTTTGCACGTTCAATGTGCTATTTGTAATACCTGGACAGATACCAAAGGGCTGGCCAAGGTGGTTTATTTATAACGTTTACGTGTTTATTCGGAAACTATTAGCGACATCGATAAATCTCTTATTCCAACCGCTGCCAAAGAGGAAAAGTTAACGCTTGGATTGTATTCGACTCGGCAACGTTAAATTAAAATGAAATATTTACGAGATCGACTTTACTCGTGTTTAAGTAAGTTTCGTGAAATAAATGTTGTATTATAGTATTATGTCATTTAATACAGATCGATTAGAGTTATCGATTGTGATTAAATATTGATCTGTTAAGCATAAGTTATATCAAGAAACAACAGGCATTGGAAGAATATATAAATATATATGCTTTGCGGTTGTAAATGAAAAAATAATGTGATCTATAAACAGTGTTTTGAAATAGTATTATTTATGTGTCTTATTTCATTGTGGAAACTAGTGTTGAACAAAGATTCACTTTCGTTTTGAAGCAATATCAATAGTTTTCGAGTAAATCAAAATATAACGTTTTTTACGTGGCACCCTTTATAAGAAACAGAGATTCCAGTTAAAGAATGAAATTCCTGTACAATGAAATCCGTAATGTGCAGTACGTGACATAGAATCTGACCCATTTATCTCTCCAACTCGGCACACTTATGAAATCTAATTAAATACAAATGTCAAATGAAGAAAATGATTTGAAGTAGGTTTTACTGCGATTTAGCTACTCGATGACTACAAGCTTGTGCTGAGAAGGAGAGCAAGGGGGAATCACTGGAACTAATTCTATGTCACGCACTCAGTACACAAAATGTCCCAAAACACGCGACCATTTCAATCAATTTTATTAAAATCAGACAATGCATAATAAAGATTAGAAATGTAATTATTATGATCGATAAAATATTCTACACGAAGGACCTATTCTTTTTCAGACTTCAACAATCCAGAAATTACTGTTAAAGGGTCATATTCAAATTCGTAGCATGCCGCCTAATAAATGTTTTATCGATCATAAAATTACCCATTCAAACTGCAAATTCCGCGACAAATATTTGCATGGTCGGCATTAATTGGTACATTCCGTGTAGAATATATGAAGAAGAAATACTAAATCTAAAACTCTTAAAGACGTTCAAGGTATACAAGGTGTTCGCACAATTACTAGCCAGCTGTTTTATCGTGAATGGCGAGATACATGGAAAAAATTAGAAAAGAAAGTTGTAAATGATTTTTCATTCTTTTTTATCGAATTCACTTTCGTTAAATACGAACGTCTTGCGTTTTGAATCAAGACGTTTCGCTTGGATCTTCTTTGGGTCGAAACTTGATCTTGGAAAAATGTTTCCGAGACGTCGGAGTATCTTCACAATGCAGTAAGAAGGGAACGCAGTGAAGTCACATTCGTTCCATTTAGTAGAAACTTTGGGAGGGAGTAGTTCTTACAAAAGTTGGAAATAACTCGGTAGTTGATCTCTTTCCCCAACTCCAATAGTTTCCGTGATATTGGAGCAAATATGCTTTCCACCCCTGACTCCGAGAACTGTTGCCATCCCTTCAGTATAAATAGCACTCGGGAAAGAAATATGTATCAAATATTCTTGTAAGAAATATTTCTATCACGGTTACTTACAAATCGACAAATATCACTTTGATAAGTTTATCGTAAGAGAATTTCAGTAATGCAAAGTTTAATACTTTTCTACATTCGCGAGCTTATGGAGAACTTCGAACTTAACAAAAAATTATCAATGTTATTGTCATCAATACAATAATAAAACTATGTATGAGACGTTTTTAAAATGTAAATTATAAGGACCCGCCAAAGACATCATGCAGAAACTGTCTTAGACCCTAAGTTACAAAGTCCTGTATAAAACATTTTTATCCTGAACCTTGCAAAGTCACCTGTACACTTTGCACCATAGGTACCTAAGATGTCCGCATCAAATCACAAGACGTTCAAAATGTCAATTCACACAAATCAAAAGTACATATCTCACACAGATAAGAGTATCTTCTCTCAAACAATTCAATAATCTAATTCAATCATTCCCAAGCACTCGCCGTATACAAAAAAGAACCAAAACCGTCCAGCAAACAGCGAACACCTAGCACCGGTTCTCACCGATCGAAAGAATTTCGAGTCAAGTATAAAAGTAAAAGTATAGACGAGCTCAGGTGTGTTAACCGTCTACCTAAAAGCTAAAAAGTCACAAAGAGCAAGTCGAGGTTCTATGTTCCCTAAATTCGGTAAACGTAAAAAGCTGCCACGTCGAAACGAAATCCGACGTCAATGATCATACTCCGCGTTGCTCAAGAGAAGAACCCTGAGATGCTACAGGGGCAAGATGGGTATCGTGTTTTGTTTATAATTCTTATTAACATACTAATGTCGGAAATGGAATAAAAAAAGCAGAATGACCAATTAGACCACATCTTCCTTCTCTCCTCCTGATCAGAGCAGAGTACACCTGGCTTCGTCGCATTCGGTTCCGTTAGCGTTCCTCGTTACACAGCAAACCAATAAGAACAACGCGTCAGAACCTGGGCGTCAATGTTGCTATAGCTATTCAATAAAGCATCCTAAATAGAAAACTCCTCTTGCCTCTATGTTTCTCCAGCTAATCGGTAGTTAGCCAACACGTCTGAGCTCGAGAATACATAGTTTACTCACATCCGCGCCGGCTACCAGCACGCTAAACGTGCAAGGCAAAGGGAAACGTCCGTTTCAGTTTCGACTGATTTCAGTTATTAGCCGAATTACGTAACTCAAAACGCAAATCAAGTGAAATACGAAAGTGAGATATAACGATAGAGAATGAACACGGCCTTCAATTTCTTATTTATATCTCGCTTCGTTACGTGAATTAGCTAATAACAAAAATCAGTTGGAACCTAGCATGGACATTTCTCCTTATCCTTGTGCATTTTTAGCTAGCAGGTAGTCAGCGGAGGTGTCAGAGGCCTATTATAAATGCATGAACATCTAAAATCCGAGAGGCACACGTACAGTGCAGCTACCACGTTTACAGCAACGACCATAGGTTTAACAGTGCACAGGGGAAGGGGAGAAGTCCAGTAGCTACGCTCGGTCTGATAGTTATGGGGACTGGCTTTCGACGCGTCCTTGTTATTGGTCGAGCCTGCGACTGATTCCCTTCGTCCCTGTGCATTTTTAAGCCTCGAGTCGCCGCTAGAAACGTGAAAGCTAAGTACTCTCCTTCTGAAAAGTGTTGGCGGTTATTCACCAAGACGAGAAGTCAGGGAGACAAGAGGATTCTTCCACGCACAATGTTTCGGCCGACACAGTTATCGACGCATAGCCACCATTAATGCACAACAGTAATATAAGACTGAAGAGAGACGGCATGCGATGGAGTGAGACGTAATGATAGCCAAGTCGCAGTACCAGCTCCGTTTTCTATACTGTACGCCTCTCACGTTAGCTTTATCGACCGACAAGCTAAAAGCCTACAGGGGCAAGGGGACTCTTCCACCATGACCATGCGTCGAAAGCCGAGCGCCGTGAGTGAAAGAATCCCTTTTCCCCTGTGCACTTTTAGCTTGTTGGTCGATGAAGCTAACGTGAGTGGTGAATAGTACTCGTTTCCGTTCTGTGTTATTGTTACGCACCAATGATGACTATGCGTTGAAACCCAAGGCAGCCGAAACACCATAACTGAAATAGTCCCGTTGCCTCCCTCATTTCTCATCACGAAAAATAACCAGCAACATTTCACAGTTCGAGAATACATACTGGAAGGTGGAAGAGAATAAAAGAGGACGTTAGCGGATCGTAATCCTCCCGATCGGTCCGTCGCTTACCGGTGTCGACGATCACGTCGATCAGGTCCATGCTCTTCGCGAAGGCGTCCCTCAGATTGATGTGATGGAAAGACACGATGCTGCCCTCGCGCTTGGCCCTCTCGAGCGCCTCCCGCCTCTTGAGGGCCTTCTCCCGTCTCATCTGGTTCTTGTAGAACTCGGCGAAGTTGTTTACGATAATGGGAATGGGCAACGCGATTACCAGGACACCACATATACAACACACACTGCCGATCACCTTGCCGAGCGGGGTCGTGGGGTAGATGTCGCCGTATCCGACGGTGGTCATCGTGATGCCCGCCCACCAGAACGTCTCTGGAATGCTTACGAATTTGGTCCCGGGCTCCTCCTTCTCGGCGAAGTAGGCGAGGCTCGAGAATATGAGGACGCCCATCGCCAGGAAGAGCATCAGCAGGCCCAGCTCCTTGTACGAGTTACGTAACGTGAAGCCGAGGCTCTGCAGCCCGGTCGAGTGGCGGGCCAGTTTCAGAATCCTCAGGATCCGCATTATACGAAAGATCTGCACTACCCTGCGCACGTCCTGGAACTGGTCGGTCGCGTTCTTGTTCGTCTCGACCAGGAACAGAGATACGTAGTACGGCAGTATCGCCAACAGGTCGATCACGTTCAGACCGCCCTTGAAGAACTTCCACTTGTCCGGCGACGCACTGAACCTAAGCACGTACTCGAGGGTGAACCATGTGATGCACACGGCCTCCACGATGGCGAAATGCGGATTGTCTTGAAAGTTCCCCTTCTCATCATTCACTTGCATACTAGGAATGGTGTTGAGAGTTAGTGCGATCGTCGAAAGCACAATAAAGAGTATTGATATCACAGCTATCACCTGGAAAAGCGACGGGTCAACCGGTCAAACGGGCTCACTTGCCGGGATCCGTTGGTCACGGAATATATATTTTTTTTTTCAAAAATACACCTAACCCCGACCATTGGGTTGGTTACAGTAACGATCAACCGATCGCGATTTCATCGACACCTAAAAGCTTTCTACACGTGGGCAGGTACACATGTGTACATATATACATATATATGTGTACATATATATATATACATATGTTTCTTTTCGTGAGTCGATCGATCACAAGAAATGACTGAAACTGGCATGGGGGCGGGAAGTGAATTGCTTCTACAGCCGTACTACTGAGAACCAAAGATCGATAAAGGGGGCTAACGGTGTTGTCTGTTGATCGAGACGAAGAACGTACTCCCAACGATGAACAGGAGAATATCAAATTTTCTCGGTTCCTTTCGATCTTTCTCTTTCTGTCCGAGTGAATGGTAGGCATCTCGTTCCAGTACCAGAAACAACGAATCCTGCGAAAACGGTCACTCGATCGATTGATGAGAAACTCGAAAAAACAGAACTGTCGAACCGTTCGAACGAAAACAACTTGTCGCTCAGCTAGCGCTGTTCTAAGCAACAACGGCTACCACAACAGAGTAAATACCAGAAGCTCTCACTGCACGGAAGCGTTCAATACACTATAACGATCAAAAAAACAAAAAGGAATACGTTATACACCAAATATACAAGTAAATACACAAATAGTCACCGAAAAAACAGTATATATAATATGTATATATGTAGGAAAAGCGTATACAAATCTCCTCTTCTTTACCTTCATTTTTTTTCTCTTACAAAGTACAGAAACAATGTACAAATATATTACGAAGCAAGCAACAACTCTGCGTACGTAAAGCTTTGTAACCTCGAACGCTTTGTGCTGAACAAATGGCGACGACGAGATGGAGACACGACGACGACGGACACTGAGACCAACGTCCAACGATGTGGCTGGCAGAGATCGAGATCGAAATCGACACAACCCTTTAATATACTTTTTTTCTGCGAAACGAAACAAAATTCTCGGACCCTCCGACGACGTAGTGAAGACGGAACAAAAATAATACACATGAAAAATAAGGAAAGCAGGGAGCACACTGCGGACTGCTATGACGTTCTAGAGCATTTTCCGCGAGACTGAAGACTCTCATTCTCAGAGTCGCTGAAAACTGCCATAGAAACGTATAGGACGCACAGAGATTCGCACCAAGGGGTGTCTCGTCGTTTGATGGCAGTCTGCCCGACGTCGCTCGACTCATATACAAGTTTGTATACCTGGCGGAAGAAACGCGTACGGCGACCCGACTCGGGACGCAATTTCGGAGTTTAGCTACCGGGACACGCCTCGTCGTTAGTGTCTTTCGTTAAATCGGGAAATTGGGCGTGTAGCTGCTAATCGGGGAGCTAAGGCACTCCAGCCTGTGCCTCCAGGTGGTGGGCGAGAATTTATCGCACCGTAAAAGGTGCTGCGGGGATCCATTAGCTACCGTAAAGTTAGGGCTCTAAGAGAGAAACAGTTGAATGAAGTATTTGGGGCTACCAAAAGGATTGTTGGAAGTAATTCTTGAATCAGAGTTTCATTATTTGTCATGTTTCAGTTTTCTTAAAGAATGTTCGGTGAAAAATAATGTGTAAACTATGAATTCACACTGGTAACACTGGAATTATTTTGTTGAAGACTTAAGATTGGAAGGGAAATATTTATTGCTTGAGAGTATTGACACTGAGTCAGTTTGAATGAAATTTCGACTATGGGGTGAAATAGAAATTTGATTGCTGTTAAGTTTCGAGTAAATTGAGTTTACAGTTGTTCTGTGGTGTACGTAACTTATGTATTATAGGACAATCATTCTCGTCATATTTCTTTATTGCGTCCTTTAAACGATTGTTTACAGTATTTGCTATGTGGATTAAGATGTTTTGATATGCTAATTCGTTAAGATTGTTGTCAAATGTAGGTTTATTGCTAGAACTACTTTCAATACGTAAAGGACAGAATAATGAAACTGTTATTTTACCGTATTCATGAAAGCCAAGGGACTGCCTTAGAAATTCGAGACCACATGCAGTACCCCAATAACATGTTTTCAATTTAAACACTGACGGCAATTAAAAAAAGAATAATGAACTGGTTGAACGAATATTACCTTTATCACGTGCATAAATTATGAGAAACATCATTACAAGAGTACGTTCATAAAATTCTGTTCAAAGAGGACTACATTGAAAAATATGAACCATTCTTATATATAGCAGTAATCCTCCAGTTACTTTTGTTGATATACGACTTCAATTTTACCATTTCTTAAATTTGGCTACTTTCATAGAGACATCACGCGAAAAATCACAAAATCTAACCTGACAAAATGATAATACGCTGTTAAAAAGATCAATCCTCAATTACTCGAAGCACCCTGAACAGGAGAAAAGGATCGAATCAGGGTCTGTTAGTTGATGATCGTCATCCGACACTCTAAACTAGCTCTACAACTTCCGATCGCGTCACAGAAAGATCGTTTGGTCCCCAGAATTCTACAGTCGCCGTATTTCTTCCGCCAAGTACACATTGTTCGGCAAGCGTATTAAACACATATTGATTTGTCCCTTCAAAACCCCGCTCCCTTTTTATCCACCCTCGAGCAAACCTACGACGCCCAACAGCTCGTAGACCCTGTACCCTGGCAGGCTGGTTGCAATCGCTACAAAGCGAAATCAATTCGTCGCTTTCGAGAATAGTTAGCAAAAACCTTTCTTTAAACAGAAAGAAACAGGCGCTCGCAACGCGTGGTTGGATTTGCGGGTAAATAACAGAGACGCGCGCCCGGAAGCGAAGTTGGCGGCCATCTTGTCAAACATCAATTCCTCTAATGCGTTTAATACATGGTACATACTTGTCCCCGTCTTTTTTCTTTTTATTTTGTTTCGTCGTGATTTCACGTTCCAATCTAGCGAAATCGAGAATCGTTTCGACTCGGTTTCCGAGTGCGTCAGATTTTCAATTGTAATTTTACAAGCGATAAATAAAGGAGAATTGGTAGACAAAATGGCGGCCGTTAACACCAGCAGTTACTCATGCAATCGACTGCCGATGCGCTTTGCCACGAATAGATAGGCGGTGGTTTCATTGTCGGTGGAGATTGTGGCAGGGTTCTGTACATACAGGGTGTCATATCAATCTTGACCGCTAAAAATATCTCTATTATTTTAAGTAACAAGGGAAAACGTAGCTTATTGAAATTGTTTAGTTGCAGAAAGTAAACGCGTAAGACGACAATGATAGTTTCTTCGGAGTTAGAGGCGTCGAAATTTGGTATTAAAGTTTGTTTTACTAAATGGAATGTCCCAAATTTTTAGTTGAATTTTCAAATTTTCAAGTTCTCAAGTTCTCATGTTCTCAAACTCTCAAGTTCTCAAATTCCCAAGTTCTCAAATGTGCAAATTTTCAAATTTTTATATTTTTGAACTTTCAATCATTCGCATCTCTGAATTTCAAATTTCATTTTCCAAACTGTTCCTCCACGTTTTCTCTACACCTCCGCGTGGCAATGAAGAAACTACTGCCACCGCGTTACGCATTCCTCGCAGCTAAATAACTTTCGTAATTGATATTTTCTCCAATTACGTGAAATAACAGAGACATTTAAGGCGGAAATGTCAGCGGAAAGTTCCGTCTATTAACGGGTAAAATTGTAAACTAGTATTAGTTAATAGACTTGCGTCAGTGCGAGCTTGTGCGGAACAGTTCTTGTGCAGGATGAGGAGTATCTTTGCAGAAAGCAGTGTGGTGCGACATTTCGGTGGGTACAATTAGCTCTGTTAGGTGAAGAAAAAGGGTCCTGTTTCAGGAGGAAAAGGAAACTAATGGCTGCTGGTTCGTTGCGGAGGCAGCGAGATCTTGGAGAGAGGTCGTAGAGGATTTAGCTAGTGAAGCCATCTTTACGATTTTTCCTAGTCGGATGTGAATTCTGCCATACAAATTATTCGCACGCTCTACTGATACTCGCAATATTATCTTGAGAATAATTAATGAAATTGTATTAATCGAATAATAATAGCAATCGATAGCGACAGGAAGAAATTATAAATACATTACTGGTTACCTTGCATGTTACTTCAAAATGGAAATTAATTAGCAAGCGAACTCTTTATGATCAATACTCGTGTACATTTTAATTTCGCTAAAGTAACTGCGCGTCTGTACATTTTTTTTAATGGACTCAAAGCCAACATAGCGTTCACGATGAAATGTTCTTCAATTTCAAATGGAAGGCAGTGAAATTTAATGAAACAACGGTTAACTAAAAATCAATACAGTACTTCGTTCGGGGTTGATGCGACTCTCATTCAATATTTACAATTAAATTTGCCTGTGATCAAATTTTCATACCGGTATCGTTTACTTCCTACTTCCTACTCGATGTTTCCTTTTTCCCAGACACGCCACGCAGAAAATAGTGTGCAGGAAATAGATGACAGAATTGTATAAATAGAACTGACTCAACGAAGAGATATTTAAGTAATAATAAAAAGTTACCCTAAATAAACAGTTTTTACTGATTATTACACTGCGGTATGTTGAAATGGAAATAATAGTTTTTATTGAATGTTGGAAGAAGTATAAAAATATATTTGATAATCTTTCAATCAGTGCATATTATATTATTTTTTTATATTGAAATGAAAATATGTTCTAATATAATTTTTATATTTCAATTTTAAAGAAATTAACGCTTTCAAATAAATTCTTCTCAAATATAATAATATCTCCGCTTTGTGTTTCGACAATGGGGAAACTCCAGCAAATTTCAAACTTTTAACTGACAGAACGTAAATGAATAATTACGTTGACACGTTCTGAACTGCCGCACATATGCAAATTTCCATGACAAACTACTATTGCAACTGCTTGACGCGCCATATTTTACAATTTACATTAAATATTGTGACACTGTCCGTCTACATTCTGTATTAAAAATATCACA